GAAAAGATCCTCTTGAACTATTAAATTTATTATCAAACAGAAAATTATCATTTATCTCAAAATTTGTAAATTAAGCATATATTGAGTCTTAGATGAAGATCATAGCTATAAGTTATCTATCTAAACTTTCTTCTAATTCATTAAACATCAATGCAGTAATATTTAACTTTTAACTTTTATACTCCAAAAATCCATATTCTCCATATTTATCATATACAGATTTAGAAAAGTAAATATAGGTGTCCAATAAATTTTCTCCATTAGCTTTAATTTGAAATTTATTGAAGTAAATTCTCATTGCCCCTCTAATATCAATAAGCCCTTAATCACCCCCAGCAAAATTTATGTTAAATGAGTTTTTTGTGAATTCAATCTTCTTTTTATTAGTTGTATTATCACCAAGAATTATTGAATCATTCAAGAAACTATAGACTTTATCTATAATTTACTATTCTTATAATACTTTCACGTTTTAGAAGGAATCAAATGGATCAAACTCTCTCTTGATTAAACATTAAAATTAGACCACACTTTCACCGTATACTGGGCAGCCTGAATTATTCAAAAAATAATTGTTCATCAAAGTAACTCCTCCACAAGGAGTATAATCTGAATAAATTCTCCATGATTAAAACTCAGGGTCATATCTCCTTATTTATAAAACTGAAGAATGAGCATATCCAAATGTAAAAATGAAATTATTATCGGAAATGTAAACTGATGATTTATCATAGTCATTTTAAGAATCATCACTTTCTAGATAAATAATTCCACAAATAACTGTATTTTATTCAAAGTAATTTTTGGATATATTGATAGGCCAAGACTAATTCATTATAGAAATCAGACTTTTGCACTACTATGTATATCTAGACATTTCAAATTTCTAATCAGAGAAAATTCTGAATTTATCTTAAAATATACTTAAACCAAAACTGTCTGATAACTCATAAATTTGACAACCCCCATAGTATCCTAAATTGTTATACATTATCGTGTTTTCTGATATTCTAATTCTACCATTAAAGGACCTTAGATTGATTATTTTTCCTTAATATTGTAATCCTAACCGATTATTGACTTTAACGGCTGAGCTTATCTTTTACATTTTGAAATTAAACTAATAAAAACCACTTTTAAGGACTATAAGGCTATAACAATCTTGGGAGCATATATTAGTTTAAACAGCTTTATTCTCATTTTCATAGAGTCTATCATAGACTATTTTTTAAAGTTTATTAGCTCTCCATAGGTAATTTTCTGAAGAAATGTTCAAGTCCATATTAAATGGATCAAAAATATGCCTGAAGTTTCGAATAATAGCACCGCAAGTAGAAAATCTCTAAAAGTTTGTGCCATTTATTATAATATGCCCTCCATATATATTAGTTTCAATAAATGAATTGAAATCAAATAAGTAGTTTTAGAATTCAGAATTCTAGATCACAAGGTAAGGAGATTGTTATAATAATGTACTTGTTGATATATCAAACTTGATAAAATATCCACCATCAGGAACATCGCACTACTCTGAACTATTTTTATATTTCAAACAAGAGGTAGTATTCTTACATAAGATTTTGAGATGGCTAGCAATAGGAATTGTTTCATTAATCTTTTGCATAAATAGTGCCATAATATTCAAAACAGCATACAACTAAATTTTTGAGACAATCAAGTTCAACATCAAAGGCTAAAATAAAATTAAGATTCAAATTTTTAGCCTAGAGAATACAACCTATTTATAAAGGAAAGAAACTTACGAATAACTGAATCTAGACTATTGATAATAATATTTTGCAATAAAAGTCCTCGACCAACTTTGAGAGTAAATCTTTCCCTGATTTTGTTGATAATAGTTACTTTTTATCCAACTGCTACACATTTAATATCTTGATTACAGTACATTGGAGTTATAGTCATATTTATATTCTAGGATCTATCATCATACTTTAGAGGCATGTATCTTCTTTGATGCTGTCTAAATAAATAATGAGTGCCCTTCATCAATTTTATTTAAACCTCGCATTAATAGTAAATAGCACACATTTCATAACTCCTTGTTAGAGCATCTCTAATGTCATAAAACGGATTGCTGTATGAACCATCTTACGACTCAGCATCGAAGAGATTAGAAGTAGGAGCATCAACAAAAATACTAAAAATTCCAATTCCAGTTTTTTCTGATTTCTCTCGGCAAAATCCATATGATACTGATCTTTCAGTCTTATCAAGATAAAATCCAATCTTGCATTAAGTACATCCATCGAGTGTTCCATCTATACATTCTTGGCATGATGAAGTACAATCTATAAATATAAACGAAGAAAAATTACTTTGGCATGTTGACTATATGACTTTACCTCGAATTCCATATAATGCCATTCCATAATAGCCAGTGGGACATTTTGAAACACAATTTAAATCATGTAAGTAGCCATTTAGGCATGCAGTGCAATTTTAAGCATAAATTTTACCGTTAGTAGTAATACAATTTCCGCATTGAGGAAAGTAATTCATTGTACTATTTGAATCGATCTGATTGCAGCCTAGGATTAGTTGGTTTTAAAGTAAAGTAATAACTTACCTAAGCATTTAGAATCAAAGTGAAAGTATGAATCTTCACATATCTCACAAACGTCATCCAAAGCATCGCAATTTCAGCAATTATTTTGCTGGCATTTACTACATGTGCCAAGATAGTTCATATAGTAACTATCTTTACACAAGCCACATTTTGATGTATCAGACAATAAAGCTTGAGCACAATTGTCAAATAATCTTAAGGGTGTAATGGGTCTGCAAGAGTAATCTAAGTCATTCATTGGTGTGCTCTTATCTTAATACTGAGTGAGACATTGATTACAATCAGAAGTGTTGATTCTAGAGCATTAATTACACCAATCGTTATTTGAACAGGCTATATCAGAAGTTAATTCGATAAAATGTTAAGCTTACGCTAGCAGATCTTGAACTCATATCCCATTGAGGTAGAAATCGCATTAATCCAACCTATGCCTTTACTTTCTGGTTCACAAATTTCACAGCCAGTATTGAGGTTGCAAGACTTGCAATTGTCGCCACAAGATAAGCAAGTTCCTGTTACTGGATCATTTATATACTAATAGCCAGCTAGTGGACAATCCGGAACACAAAATGTAAAATGCTCAGGATACTAGCTTGATACAATCCCTGTACTATTCTTTAGCAAGTAGAAGTTTTCTTCGCATCTCAAGCACTCAAGAAATTAAAGCCCTCCAACTTCTTTTGCTACGCATTACTAGCATCCATACTAACTTCCAGAGCATCCTATAATATTTTTTAATTCTATTTGATTACTTCTGCAGAAGCCATCTTTATCTTTGAATTCAAATTTTTCTAAACCTATAGAATTACATTGATGAAATGAGTTTTGATTTACATTGAGTTTGCCCATTAACTGCAAAGTAGGCAAATGCATTTAGAAGTAATAGTAGACTACCAAAGCATTAAAAAACTTTAATTTTTCTATTCATGTATATTTGAAGATCAATGTTAATATATAGAAATAGATATTATAATTTGATAATCCTCATAGAATTTATTTGCTTCATGTATTATTTAAAAAAAATTATTTCTATTTTACTAATCTATTAGCTATAGATTAAATACTAATGATGGGGTTTTGGGGTTTTGGGG